ACCGGACGCGGCGACCGGCGAGCGCGCGACACCGAGACCAGAACCCATGCCCGGTAACATGGACGTGGCCGCTTGACCGACCGAAACTGACATGCCGCCCACGTGGCTGCCTGCGACCGACGTCGCTGCGGCGTTAAAGGGATTCACTGGGCTGACCTGAGCGTGATGATGATGATGCGATGCCGCAGGCACAACTGAGCCCAGAGTGTTCATCCAGGGAAAGCTCTTGCCGCTCAACGGCGATGGTACTTTGGCCGCCCAGTTGTTGTACGTGCTATACGAACTGTAGAGAGTGTCGGGATCTGGAAACGGTTGGGTGATGAAGCCGTTCAGACTGGCTGTACTGAAGCCCGACTTGAAATCCGCTGCGGCCTGCGCGGCGGCGTTCATCGCGTTGCGCTCCTTCTTCCGCCATTTCGCCCGCCTGTTCTTGAACCAGACCTGCAAACAGAAAAACAGAACGTTGCGAGAAAAATGTGTCTGTTCATTACAATGTGTAGAATGTTATTTGAGAAAGGACCTCGCAATTATAAGGAAATTTGTGTGAAATCTCAGTAAAATTATCAAGTTAATTTTCATAATGTAACTTATAGTGTGATGAAGAAAAGATGTAGACACAAGGCTCAAGGTAATGGATGATTTTCGAGTTATGGTGCATTAAAGATGCTGTGTGAACACAATTGATTTACACCTTTAATATACCATAGTTCAAAAATTATTTATTATTGAACCTTGTGTCTATGACATCTTTTGTTCCTTGTAAACTATATTATACAATATATGAAAACTAATTCATTTCATCGGGATCTAATTTTTCGTATAATTAGTGCAGGGTTCTTTAATAGAGAGATATCGATTATATATATAATATATTTTTCGATATTTCATAACCAATATTTTAAAGAGATAATTTTTTTCCATAATGTACAGATGCTCCCCTCCGTTCCCAGATTTTGTTTTTAACGTATACAGCTCGTACATTGAGAATAAACGGAGAAGGAAACGGAGGAAAGACATAGCGATGCGTAGCGTTTCTTGCCAGATTTCGTGAATGTTCGCACGCCACGGGTTATTAGTCACGAACGCAACGAAGAGAACAACGAGCGGCGGTTCCGCTCCGTGGTAGACGGTAAGCGAGTCTTGAGACAAATAGCAAGAAAACCCCGGCGAGCTTCTCCATCCTGAAATATGACGGCGTTAATTCAAGGCGGCCCTTCTCTCACGCTCGATACTACGGTGAACTTCGTCAGCCGTTTCCACCCTCCTTATTCCTTCGCTCGCCCTTCAACCTCGAACCTACCAGCGTCCTCCGAGTTCTCTTCAGCGCCTCTCTTTCTTAACGACGCCCATCCCATCGCATCGTCGTCCCTGCTCGCCCCCAACAATTATACGGATGGTTGCGCTTAGATACACGTCGCTCTCGCGTAACTGTAAGGCAAGGGGAAGGAAAACGCGACATACGCGAAGGGTCGTGGTGTAAGTATTCGACGAAGAGAGAGTTGAGTAGCTGGTAGAGAAGAGGAGCAAGATAGGAAGAAAAGGGGGAAAGGTACTGAGGGTGAAGCAGGTCGGCGGAATACTCCGTAAGATGGATGGCCTTACGATCACGCCGTGGAAACGCTAAGAGGCGCGACGGGTCATTGAAAGTGGGGGCGGAAGAGTAGCTAATGAAGAATAATGTCCTTTCCTCTCAACGATTATTCCTAGAACTTCACTGTAACAGCCCGAATTTGCTAGTAACCTTCATTATATAACTTAACGGAATAATTCTAACAAGACAATAACGGTGGGTAGATGTGTAAAAGAAAATTGGAATTTTAACCCTAATTGGTATTCGCGGGTTCAATGTGCTTTAAATTAATGTATCTTTGCTTGAAGTTAACATAATTGAATAATTTTTTTCATTTTGAAGATCGAAATCCGAGGAATATAAGATTATGTGTAAAATTGTGAAAAATATTTATCATAAACAATTTTTCACAATGAAAATAATGTTCAGGACCTGGGAACATCGATTAGGGCTAACATAAAAGCTTACTAATTCGCATAGCTTTACATCAATTTAAAAAAAAAAATAATACTTATCGTTATATTCCTGTTACAACAGTATTTATACGAAATTAATACGATGTTACCGGTTTTTGTTAATAAAGAACGACTTACCTTTGACCTGCCCTCATGGGAGATATACGCGTAGGTACGAATTTTTTTCGCATCGGTAAGCCGCACGAGAAACATCATTGGATTTTACGAAGCGGCCCGGTAGCCGCGGCACCATGGGCGACGACGGTAAGCCAGGAGGGAGTAAATTCGATAGGACAGAATGGTACGGCGGGCGAAAGATGCCGCGACTCGAGAATCAATAAACTCTCGCGCAAAGGCGCAGCGTGTACACACAAGATGCCGCGCCCATAAAGTTTAACAGCGTCGCGGAATCTTGACTGAAGCTATCTGCAATGACCCAGGAGAATCTTAACGCTTTTGATTCGTAAATCCATCCGACGAACGTACATACATACGCTCGGAACTTGAGCGAAAACTATCGCTTGACCAACTGGATTCCAACTATACAGGGTGATTTTAACATATTTCGTCATGAGCAGGTAGAGTGAATCGAACTGAGTCGAAAAGTCATCTACCATTTTGCAGTTTGTACAATAGTTAACGACATATTAATTACTAAAAATTGCCAAATTTTGATCTTGAATAATTTTTTACTCAAATACTATCAACTTTATAGAAAAACTGCAAGAGACAAAAATCATTTATTTTCTTCTCAACTCTAAAAATTTGTTCAGAATTTTTTCAACTTTTTAGTACTGCATTTTCTTATTTTTACCAACATGAGAAAATATATTAAAAAATATTTAAAAATTCTGAAAAAAATTCTCAGAACTTTATGAGAAGAAAATAAATGATTTCTGTCTCTTGCAATTTTTCTGTATAATATATAAAGTTGATAGTATTTGAGTAAAAAATTATTCAAGATCAATATTTGGCAATTTTTAGCAATTAATATCTTGTTAACTATTGCGAAAATTGCAAAATGGTAGAGGACTTTTCGACTCAGTTCGATTCTACCTGCTCATGATGGGTGACAAAATATGTTAAAATCACCCTATATATTGACCAAATGATCTGTGAATCGTGAGAGAAATCGCGCTTGAAACATAAATATACCAACGGGCACATCGCGCATTCCGATAATAATTAATGATATAATTAATTAGTATATTATGTTAATCTCATTAATAGCTATTTCCAATCCAATTTGACGAATATTCACAAAATATTGACGCACCAAGCTACGATACATAAAATCTGTGTTCACACAAAATTGCATGTTTACTGTAGTTGTATAATTTTTAATAAGTTTAACAAATTTAAAGCACCGTCGAATCGATTCTCATCGGTAACGTCGAAAACATCGATATTATAGATAGTAATTCAGTTGATGCGGTAAATCGAATCCATTGTTTTTCGTCTGGCAACTGACTCGGAGAACAATGGTCGCGTCACATCATTCGAGCAATAAAATCTCATCAAATCACGACCCCTCGCCACCATGTAAGCCTCCATTCGGTCTCTTTCTTCCTCTCGCTCACGCACGCGTTCGGCTCAATCTACGAAAGCTTATATAAATGTAATGAGACCGTGACCGGGGATGCCTCATCAATCACACCCCCGTACAGCCCCCTCGGTTCTGTCCCATTTCATCGTCGGCGTCGCTCTTTCCTATGGTCGTCTTCCGCGCCGCACATACGTCTACCGGGTCTACGTGCTACATAGACACCCTCGAATACCGCACCGGCCCGTCCGCGGTAATCCCGTGACTTAACATCGGGCTCCGGGCTCTCCGGGTAACCGCGATTTGTTCCATTGCGCTCAGAAGTTGCGCGCCACGCCGCGCCGTTAGTTCTTCGGTCAAGAGAGTCTTACAACCGAGTCTTACCGGAGCCCGGCTCTTGAGTAAGGCCTATTTAAGCGGAACAGTTTTCAGACGATATTCTACTGAATTGGGGGCATCGTTTTATATTATAGCATCAATTTGTTACGCTATTTATAAATATGCCCACAACGAATTTATAATTAAATCGAATCAAAATTTGAAATTGCTGTTTGTTGATAAAATTAACTTAAAATATCTATTCCCCGTTTTCGATTAATATTACAAGTTTGCGAAAATAATGTATATTTATGTAAAATAAATATCAAATTTATATAAATCGTTACTGTTTATCTCTTTTAAATTTTGCAAAATATTTTTTGGTAAATAGATCAGTAATTTCAGAATAGGTTTTATTTTTTTATGTATACATCGTATATTTTAGAAATAAAAATTTTGACGAATAGCGAATATCAGAGTCGAAAGCAAGTTACCGCATTTGCATTATTCGCAAAATCTATATGCGAATAAATCATGCGTAAATTTGTATTGTTAAGTCTTATCGATGGTTACATTTAAGCACAAATAGATATAAGAGCCTGACTCTTTCACTTCACATTGGCACAAAATTGAGTTTTTTTTTGTTATAAAATGTAAGAAATTTTAAAGCACCGTCGCGATATGTAAACATCAAAAATTTAAATCTCTCGACGTAACATGCGTTTTCTTTACGTTTTTGTGCGTCTAGGTTAACGATCTCGTTCATTTCGTGCGAAATGTTCGCGTGAATTCGTGCGAGTTCGCGTCCTTTACAAGATGAAGGAGGAAGGAGAGAGAAACCGAAGGACGAGCTAAAGGAGGAGGCTGTGAGAGACGGTAGGGAGAGAACCTGACATTCTCTCTCGTAGGGTGGAGATGGTGATGGTGGTCGCGCTAGAGGGGAACTTCGAGGGGGAGTCTGAGAGAAGGTTAGTCGTGGGTGTAGAAAGACAGGGAGAGACAGAGAGTGAGTGAGTGAGTGAGTGAGTGAATGAATGAGAGAGAGAGAGAGAGAGAGAACGAGAGCGAAAGAGAGACGCACGGACGAGAAAACGGAGGTGGAGGAGGATAATATTGATCCCCTCGTAGCCCCGCCCCTCCTCGCCCAGCCGACGCCATCATTATATTATCTACCATCCCTCCGACTCCGTTTCCCGACGTATCGCACACCTACGACCTCTCGAAACTCGCAAAACTATCCTGGTCGTGCACGCGCGTTGTCTTGTATTCCTCGAGAGGGACTTTTCAAAAAAAGAGAGAAAGACACGGAGCTACTCTTACGTTCATCGTTGTATTCCTTGCCTATCCTGTTTCTTAACTTTCTTCCTCCTACCACCCTTATTTCGCTCTTCTTCTCACGTCGGAGGGATAGAGACAGAGAAAAATTCGAGGAGGAGCGTTGCCGTGGCCACGGAGGATTCGTGGTAGGTTTCCCGAAAATCTTGCGAGGACCAGCGCGCGTGCGAAAGCGCCACTTCATTAAAAATAAATTCCGTGAAGGAGCCGACGGATATCC